TTTTGTCTTTAAAAATATTTAACGAACATTATCAATAAGATTACAAAAATATTGATAATTTACTTTCCTTATTGTTTAATAAAACAATAAATAATTGATAAATATCTGTATGTATTGATCAATAAAAATAGAAAATATGCATCTTGTTTATGATAGATTTAAATTTCAAAGGTGTGAAAGAAAATGCTTCACAAAATTTATTCAACATAATAAAAGAAAACTTGATGTTCGAAAAGATGTGACAAAAGAGGAGGAGACGCTGCATTTTCTGAAGTGAAAAGCACAAATGCATTTATTGCTGTTTCATCAAACTTTATTTCTGTAAAAAAACTGGTTACATCCCTTAAAAGTATTGAAGTGTCTTGCCAATTGAAAGCAAAAATGTCTACGGAATCCTATAAAGTGTTTATGATGGTATACAGTGAGAATTGCTCTGAAACCTGGAATAATTTTTAAAATGTCTCCTATTTCCTTCCAGAAAGATTATGATAAATCTTGAATGGTAAAATGAATTGAATTTTTTTCTTTCTTGGAGTAGATTTCTATAGTTATTTCTACTATAATTGATTATGTCTTAAAATGATAGTAACAAATCATAATTTTCTGACTTCCGTATTCTTCAATTTTACAAAACCTGGTTTAACTATGGAAGAAAATAGTGTTTCAAAAAAGGTAGGTAGGCACTTTCTTTACGTCGCACTGGAGCTGCTCAATGGGATACTGAAGACGGTCTGGGAATTATTTCTGAGGAAGATCTAAAGACATGCCTTCACAATTTTGATCCTCTGCAGCGGGGATGGCTCCCCTGCTTTGGTAGCCCCGACGACCTGCGTGCAAAGTCGAGAACTTTACTGTAGAACAGTTTAACGAGGATCGATACCACTCATCCTCGATCCCTAACCAGGCTGATCAAAGTGGTCACCCACCCGCTTACTGACCGCAGCCAGTGATGCTTGACATCGGTGCACTACTGGAAACCGTGTCTTTACGATCAATCCCCCAAGGTTCTTTCAAAAAAGTACATCAGATAGAAGGTTGGTTTAAAATGTATTTTGAGATTGTTAATTTACTATAAGAAACAAAAGAGCACCAAAATTTGTATAGTTCCTTGCCCATCAAATGCTTGCAGTGAGGAGGGTTGATTTGGCTGTCGATGTAATCAGCGCTCTAATAAGTCTCAAAGGTATTCTATGAGATTTAGATAGGGGATTCTGAGAAGTCCAGTCCCTTTTTTGAACACCCATTTCGTCAAACCACGTCTGCGCAAACCTTGATGTTTGAATAGAACAATTATCCTGCTGGAAGAGAAATGGGCCTTTCCCGAAATATTGCCATAGAGTTAAAAGGGCAGAATTGTCCGGAATGTCCACATACATCTCAGAGTTCATGTTTCCAACCACAGGGACTAACGGGCACAGGCCAAACCACGAGGATCAACCCCAGACCATTATGCTTCCACCACCTTAACAACAGGGTGTCCGGATAGTGTATTAAGCATGGGTAAAAAGAATAGTTTGTAATTTTCTACACACCTAATAAATTTTCAGTAGAAAGCACGTAGTATACCTTGACTCCAGCCAATAAAGGTAAGCCGATGAAGGTTAAAACATGGGTAAATGGTTAAGAAATGATGAATGGAAAGTAAAACGCGTGCTTTAACCCCTTAACGATCGGTTAATTTTCAAGAAAACGGTCACAAAAGTGCCTATTTTTTTTCTGACATCCAAACATCTTGTGCTTACTTCTAGTTTAAAATAAACTAACAATCTACAATTACCTTGAAAATATCCTAGTACTGCCATCTGGTGTGTAAAATGAGAAATAAAATGCTTTCCGGGCAAAAGAAATGAATTAGTTTTATTCTTATTGACTNGTTTAAAATAAATTAACAATCTACAATTACCTTGAAAATATCCTGGTACTGCCATCTGGTGTGTAAAATAAGAAATAAAATGCTTTCTGGGCAAAAGAAATTAATTAGTTTTATTCTTATTGACTCGTTACTACTGAACACTCCAGCCCGAAAATATGACGAGAGCGAGAAATAGAGGGCGAAACCTCACCCCGTCATTTTCACGGGAGCGAGAAGGAAGGGGCTAAGAAAATTCAAAAAAATACTTGATGTATGTGCATGAATAAGGAATAAAATCTCGATACTTCGATGTGGACATGAGCGAGCCTACCTGGATCTTTCGAAAACTTAAACTTCTATAAAAATTAAATAAATGGAACCAGAGTAATTTTTAAATTTTGAATATTTAATTGCAATATAAAAATTATAATTAAAGAAAATTTACTTTCATTAGAGATTCAGAGTACATTTACTACCTTAAACCAAGTTACAATATTCATTTTAATACTGTATTAGATTAATTGATTAATTGTACTTTAAATTAATTGTCTAATGGGTTTTATTTACACACACTGCTTACATGCTTCAGTGTTTATCTCATAATATAGTTTTTCAATCAGGGTTTTCAACATTCAGTCGTAGTAATCGTCGTAAAACCAATCTTAGAAATCGTCCCACATGTTCTGTGTGCGTTGGCTATTATTTGGAAGCAAGACTGATTACTTTTCACTAGCTTTGATTTATGGGAAACTCGAGAAACCACGAACACGAAACTTTAACAAGACTCGAATTACAGAAACTCTACTAGCTAAAAAAGCGAATTGAAAAAAAAATGGATTAAATATAATCGGATAGATATATTGGTAATTATAGATATCGTGATATTTTAAATTAGTTAGGTATTGTTATCTTTATTAATGATCTCCGTATTAAGTGTAATGCTCCTTTATGTATTGTACTTATATAAATTAGAATTCGGCTTTACTCATAAGTTGTGCGACACTCAGTTTCATAGTTCCCATAACAGGCAAGTACCCTAAAAATCGTATCTGTAAAACGGTTAACACTTTCTGTACCTTTCTTAAAAGCAGAAAACAAATTCGTCTACGAGTTTCATTTTGAGAAATAATGTTTTTTTTTAGTTTTAAGCTACCAAAAAGTATAAATATAAAATATTGTCATTTTATTAAAATGTAAATTGTGTCATAAAATATATATCTCATATATTTGTGTCGATAAAAATACGTGGGACTTATTAAAAAAGGGAATTCCGCCTTTTTCAAAGAACTTTAAAATATTGGTTATGAATATTTTTATGGTTAGTTCTGGTTTGGTGGGGATAGTTTCCAATCGTATTCTATAAGAATTCGGAAAAAAATTATCAAAAGCAGAAAACTTTTCCCATTTTAAAAGGAAGTTTGTTGAAATTGAAGCAAGTTTTTGACTTATTTTTATAACAGTTTTTCATTCCTGGATAGCAACAATTGATTTTATTTTCAAGTAGAATATCGCACTTTTGTCGCCAGAAAAAGTTAATATTTACAGAAAACTTCTCAAGACATGACAGCATAAGTTTCCTAAAATTAGAATATATACATAATTCCTATACTTTATAAGTTTCAGGGAATACCTAAATGTGTTGACTTTGTAATTTATTTTTTAATATTTTTCATATTTCATTTGTAAATATGTGTGGAATAGTCTGTTTTGCTTCTGGAAAACATTAGTATTTTATTACGTCACATAACCTTTTTCCTAAGAATGCACTTCTTATAAATAACTGAAGAATTTTTAGTGTATATTTTATACAAACAAGTATATTTTAATTATTTTATATATGATAGATCTTTAAATGTATCGAAAAATTTAATTAATCCGCTGATATATATCTCAACCTTTATAGGTCCATTTTTTATGCCAACATTATGTTAAAATATTTTTTGGATTGAAATTGATTTATAAAAAGAAATTCATTTAGCCATTACTTAAAATTAATTTAATTTTTAAGACCATTTTTTTTTGGTATGAAGGTAGGTGAGATTTTCAAAATTTTACCTATTGCAATTTTACCTTTATTAATCATAAACTCGAACTTCTGTGCTTAAAAAAATTGTTGCTCATAATTACAATTAAAAGTGGCGAGAAATGAAAATGAACGAGAGCATAGCGCACAAAAGAAAATATCAATCCAGTGTCCGCATCCCTTCCTGACAGCCTCTTAATTTTTACCGTTATCCATATTTAAGCGAACAAAGCCCTACATTACTTCCCATTTAATATCAAGGAAGCTATTGCCCCGCGACATTGTGTGTACAGATGCCTCAATTTTGAAGAAAGAAAGTTCTTACTGAGAAAATTCAAACTGCCGTAGGCAATTAAAATGCATTTAAACAGAACTTGAGAAAAAAATGATCAACTAGATTTTTTTTATTTTTTGAAAACTAATCACTTTTTTTCAAGTGGATGGTTAGCAGACGTGTTTTAATCGCATTCATAGAAATTATCCATTGCAAAATAAACTAACTCGTTGCAGAAACGTTTTACTGATGAGTTTGGCAAAATTTATTATTGTTGTTGTGGTTGGACATTAAGGCAAGGGTGCGATTGTTCTTGTTTTCCATTGGTGCTCTCTATGGCCAAGAATTCGACTTCTGCCACACCCATACCTCACATCCGTTTATAGGGTGTACCCATTCATGCAGCCATTCATTCATCCGCAAATAGTAATTCAAACCAGAACCAGAAGAACAATCAGTTTCCCATTCAGTACCCTCAGAGGTATAATTATTTGTCATGAGAACGCAGAGAACTTTGTGACCCGGCAGATTTAACTTGTACCAGTCACCATTTACTAGACGGCTGGATAAAATTTAATATTAAATATGCTTAATAATATGTGATAAAATTTGGTAATTTTATCCTGGTAACCTAGAGTTTGGTACACAAACCATTTATTCGATTTAATTTACTTTTTCTATTTTTTTACTAAATATGTGTTAACAATAAACCCATAATTTTGAGAACAGTAATTTTCGTTAAACCGTTATCATATGAACTGAAAAATTACCAAAACCATGGTTTGCAGAGATAACAGCAGTAACCTTTTAGCTCTATTCACTTACTACTAATACGGAAATAAAAATGCCAATTATCACGAGAAAACGCTTTATTTAATTGTGAAACAGTGATTTAAACCAATGGACGATCTAGATTGCTTGTATAGCGGCCTTGACACCATCCCATGTCTCTACGCTCATGGGTAATATGTACCTCTCGGGCAGCATGAAACCATAATAACCCGTGTCTCGTAACTCAATAGTATAGACTAGTTTGACTCCTAATTTATCGTAAATATAATCATCTGATCCTCCGGCAGCTTCATCTGAAACGGAAATTAGACAGAATATCACAAAACTGGTTTCTTTATTTAAAGGTAAGAAGAAAGTTGATATTAGGTAGTTCTTAATTCATCAGGGACCAAATTTACGAAATACATTATATTTAAAACGTGTTGATAAGTATACTTACAAATAACATTAGCAGTGGTACCGAGTTTGTACTTAGTTCCGTATTTCTTTTCCAAGGCATCAACACCAGCCCTGCCAACACGAATCTGAAAGAAAAACAATTTTTTTTTTCAAATAACTTTAAAATGTTCCATAACAGCCGCCCTTAAGAGAAAGGTAACAAAAGCGTCTACTTTAGTATAATTTAAAATTTCAATCGTAGAAAAGAAGGAAATCCAGAAAAAATACGAGAAATTCTATTTCTTTTTAAAATAGCAAAATGCTAATATATTATGCACATGAAGACTAAAATTCTTATAAAATTATGGTAATCACATTTCTGGTTAAAAAAAAAAAAGAGTTCTAGTCAATAATTTAGTAAAATATACAAAACTTAAAAGTAATTTTAACTGAATAAATGGTTATTTTGCTATGCCCTAAAGTATAATGACAAAATTAGTTCAAATTTGTCACTTTTACAAAATTTTATCGTATATCATAAAAACATATTTTATTATTAATTTTACCAAAATCATTACCAAAACGCTTCTGTAAAAATTACCAAGTTTTTGGTGCTCGCAAAGAGCAAGAAACATGGTAAATTTTGCCATATTCTGGTAGCTCTCACTGTACTTTTTTTCTCCAAGCAGGATTATTCAAAATTACGTAGATTTATTTGCATTTATGTACACTCTATAACAAAAAAATCGATGCACCAAGAAGCAATCATCCGATTTCTTTGAAATTTCGTATGCGTGAATGTTTTGAACAGATATGGATGGAATGATGCCGACTGGGGGCGTATAGTCCTTAGCGACGAATCCCGCTTCCAACTGTGTCCTGACAATCATCGAAGACGTGTTTGGAGACACACAGGGCAGAGGGGGGATCCTGCCGCCACTATTGCACGCCACACCGGTCCTTAACAAGGCATTATGATCTGGGGTGCCATTTCCTTTGACAGCCAGACCCCTTTGATCGTCATTAGAGGTACACTTGCTGCACAGCGGTACGTCGACGACATCCTGAGATCTGTTTTTCTACCGTTCCTTTTGCAGCGCCCTGGGCTGGTTTTTCAGCAGGACAATGCATGACCACATACGGCACGTGTTGCTATGAACTGTCTGCAAGCTTATCAAACTCTCCCTTGGCCTGCCAGATCACCGGATCTTACTTTTTTGGCAAACTAACTTTGCAAAACTTTTCAACTTTGCAACTTCCCCGCAAAAATAAAATCTTTTAAAAATGTGTAAAATGAATGAACTTAATTGCAAAAAATAACGTACCAATTCGTTGTAGTTGGGTGGTAGTGATTTTTTAAATCCATATGGGGACATCCATAATTGAGAATATGCGTGTATTGCGAAGTAGATTTTGATGCGATCTTTCTTGGCAATCATGACGTCCCTCAAAGCACGAGTTTCACTCTCTGAGAATGGTTTGTCACCACAAAATATTTCTTCACATGGTTTTGAACTTGTTCCAACACCTAGAGGCAAACAAAAATAGAAATAAATACCTTTGGCGATATAACATCAATTTAAGAAGTAGTTTGAAAATATGTCACTGCATTTTCTCACAAATTTTTATCATTTATAATTAACTATTAAAATTAGTCTTAAGCTACGTTCTAGATTTACTAAGTTTCAAAATGGCATACATTTTTCTAATTTTGATTGCAGATAAGGAAATAAAATTTCAATATATTTGGAAAATGAAAATAAGATTGAATATTTAAATTGTTGAGACTGTATTCTTGTGAATTGGAGTGACATTAAGTGACAGCTTAGTGAATTTGAGTTAATGAGCTTTGAAGGTCATATCCTAACAAAAAAATAATAAATAGAGACTAATGTTTGCCTTTATTTAATGCTCGCAATCTATCATTTGCCAAAATTAATGAATTTTGATACAACTTATTTAAGCTATTCACGTCACGGTATTCGCATTCCTCGCGTTTTATTTTACTGTTTTCGAAGGTTACTTGTAGACTTCTTTTGGGAAATGAGCTTGTATTATTCTTCCACTTCAAAAGCACTTAAAATCTGTCATTTAGATTCTTCATTGACTGAGATTTTACAAAGAAAGAAGATTAGGAAAGTAAGTGATTTTTGTATGAAAAAGATTACCAAAGATAAATTTGCGATTGAGCTTAAATAGACTTTTCAAGGACCTTTAAGTACAATTTAATATTTTATATATGTGATTTACAGTACTCTGATGAAAAAAAAGTATGGTCAGAACTACCAGAATATGGAAAAAATTATCGTTTTTCTGCCTCTATGGGAACACCAGAAGGTTCGGTAACTTTTACTGAAGCGCTTTGGTAATGATTGTGATAAAATCAACAATAACATGTGGTAAAATTTGGTAAACGTACCTATATTTTTAATTGCCAAATGTTTGTTAAATGTTTAGTAATTCCATTATGATGTCTGAGATCATGACATAAAAACCATTAATTAGGCTGAAATTTACTTTTCGGTTTTGTACATTGCACTAAATGAGTGGTAATAAGAATTAAAATTATGAAAATCAGGTAAACCGTACCAGAAATGTCGTTACCATACAGTACGGAAATTTTTTATCCGAAATAATCTTATATAATTTTCAATCATTCTCTCTCTGAAATAACATAAACTTGGAGTAACAAAATCGGGTTGTAATAATAATCTTCAAAATTAGAGCTAAAAACATAAATAAGAACTACAAAACATATGTTCCATTTTGATCTTTTCTGCGACAACCGATGCTAAAAGCCTCTGAATTGCGTATTCAATTTTAATCCCTGTATAAGATGAAAAATATATTTTTTCATCTTTATCTGTATATTGAAATGACATTTGGATTACTTTTTGGAGTAGCGAGATATTTACCTCCAAAGTCAATATCGAAATTTCGGTTCGCGTCTGTACCGGGGCAAACACCATACAAGTCTTTGCTACTTCTTGATCGAGTTTTCCTCCACATACGATCCTGTAAAGAAAGAATGTGTTGGAAATTTATTTCTCCAATACTATTAGTTTCACTTATATTTTCTAATATTTATGGATAGTATTTGGGATGGAATGTTTTAAATCAGAGAAGAAATTTGATTTTATTTGTAAAAAATATTGATTTAGGAAATTCTAACAGGCTAGTCTATTCCCTTTTTAAAATATGAAATTTTGAATTCGAGTCAAAAATTTTTAAGGTTTTTTTAAAAAAATTTTTAAGTCGATATCGAAATTTTGCTTTCCGGCTATTCCGAGTCAAGCACTGTGCAAGTCTTTGTTACTTTTTTATTGAGTTTTCCTCCACATGCGATCCTGTAAGAAAAGAATATGTAGAAAATATATTTCTCTAATATTTTTAGCTTGTCTGATATTTTCTAATATTTATGGATAGTATTTGGCTTGTAATGTATCGAATCAGAGGGGAAATAGGATTTTATGCGTAAAAAATTGATTTATGAAATTCTAAAAAGCAAGAAAAAAACTAGTCTAGAATTAGTTAGAGAAATATAAATAGTTGCCATGATGATGGTCTTCAATGCAATTATAGCTTAGTCTCTTGTGTGTACAACTATTCTACTTAAAGCCATTGCTGATCGCCATGGAGGGAAATCTTCCTCTTTCGATGCACATCTATTCAATCCGTTAATTCGCGGACTATTGTTGATTAATTAGATAATACTGTCATGCAAAACGAAGGACTGACTGATTTCAAAAATAAAAATCGTGGAAACAAAAGGCGATAAATGAATGAAACTAACGATAAATCAATTGTGAAAGCTGGAAAAAACTTCAGGCAGAAGTTTTGGAATGAAAAGTTGTTAGTAGAAAAAGTTGTCAACAGATGGCTCTCTATGCTATGCACAATTCTTGAAGGGAATACAAATACCTTAGGACTATAATCTAACATGAGATATTCCAGGACTCGAAACAAGTATTGTTCAATAGAATACATGGTTTAAACTTTCTTTCGACAACAACCCTTCTTTCACGCTTTAATGTTAGAATTGATCAATCCATCTGGTCGCTGATTGCATGCAGCGCCATCTGTTGGCAACTGTTGAAACTAAATTCCACAACTTCTTAAGGAATTTTTCCAGCTTTTACAAGAAATATACATTTTGTTTCGGTATTTTTAATTTTGAAATCAAACAGTCTTCCGTTAAACACCCTTCAAATATAACACAGCTAATCAGTTTGAACTTAAACAACTTAGTGACGTCGTTGTTAGTCAATCTGAGGCGGTAGTTATTGACGAAAATTCTGGGATTATTAAAATAAATAAATAAATTTAAAACTTACCCTCTCCCACGAGTACACATAACCATCAGGATTTATTTCAACGATTATGTTAATCTCATACTTGTCCACGAGGGCAGTAATTTCAGAGTCCGACCCATAGGAGGTAATAATCTACAAACAACAAAGGAAACAATCAAATCAATATAACGATACTTTGAATTGATTAAAATTTAATTATGCACTGCAAATTAACATCTGAAATCAAACTTAGAATACATTGATGTACACTTTTTAAAAAATTCACTCAAGCTAACACCAAAGTTTCGTAAATTTTTATTTTGTCAGACGCACGAGTAATGATTATTTTTCATTTGCTCACAGTAACAAGTACAAATTAAAAACTGTAATATATAAGCCTCTCTTGATGCTATTAAATTTGCATCAGCATCCGTGATTATAAAAAAGAAAAACTCTCTTCCTTACCAAATCAGTTTAAGAAACACGATTCATGATAGTAAATTCTATGACACATTCACAGCTTTATATTATGACCGAAGATTATCTTTTTGAAAATTTGTAAAGATGTGGTGAATAGCAGTTTCTTCGTATTTACTTGGAAATTTTGCAGTGATATTCAAATAAACATTAAAACTGTATAATTCTGTATATTTAAAAACTGAAAAATAATTAGAGCTGACAGGTTTTTAAGAATTCATGACAACCCAAGTCAAAAATTTTTGATAGTTCTCCATTGATGGATCAACATAATCTTGATGGTAGCCATCAATAATTCCATCATGAAACATTATATTTTGATCGCAACCAACATAAGTGACCATCACCCCTATGTAGGAATTAGTATCTACTAAATAATGATGGTCCCACATGGGGACAGCATCTTGTTTTGATGGTTTGTTCAAATCGTACCATCAGAAATTTCCATCATAGTTTCTTAGATATCAAATGTTGGAACAACCAGGAGCATCCATCATCCTAATGTAGAAGTTCGATCTGATTTATGATGTGCCAACATAAAAAAAATTGTTTTGATGGCATATTCCTGCTAAACCAACAATAATAATTATTAAATCATCATGAAAATGTATAGTTGGAACCATCATAGACCATCATGGATTGTTGGTTCATGAGAATCAAACTTCTCTTGAGGGTTAACCATCATAATATTAAAGTAGCATTTTCCATCATGGAATAATGTACGTTTGCTGGCGTATGAAAAACTATGAACTCATAATGGAAAATAATGGATGATGGTGACCATCAAATGATGTTCGACCATCACGAATCGCGCTGAAACCGACCATCAAAATGTTCTGATGGGACCATCAAGAGGTTTGACTTAGGAAGTATGGAAAAACTACATTTCTTAGTTTTCATATTAAATAACTTTATAATTGAATAATATTTTTCAATGCCACTGGTTCCTGAGCTATCAATTCGTTTCTTCAACAGCCAGTTTCATAAAAAAGGGAAAAGAAAATACAAAATTGCTTGAAATCGAGATATGCTATGTCAGCATTGAAATTTGACGATAAATTCTGCCTGATTCGTGTGTTTTTTTACTCACTATTAGTAAATGCAAACTTTTGCAAAATTAGTAGAAAAAAGTAAAAAAATTAAAAAGAATCTATAATTAATAAAATAGAAGAATAAGAAAATATTATTACTTCATTGACCATGTAAGTACAAGTTGCTACCGATGCCCATTCTCTGGCATGAATTCCGCATTCTATTAAAACGACTGGTTTTGAAGAACTGTCCCCAGAACTGATCTAAAAAATAAAAATCAAGATAATACAGACTTTTGCGATAAATACCATTGATTTTATTAAATTTGATTGATTTTTTTTTTGCTTGAATTTAAGGATCACGTGATAACAAAGTGCGTTTATTTAGTTTTACACCATTATAAATGGTCTGATGAAGTTAAAAAACTTATTAAGTTAAAGAATAAGAAAAAGAAAATCGAAAATTTATCATCATGTAAATTGTTCATTTATTTTTCAGTCAACAAGTTTCACTTGCATTTTTTTTAATTAAATGGAGTTATATTTAAGAAAAATGCCTTAATCATTTATTTCGTCAAAATCCATTTACAGAATAAAAATGCTACTTGTAGCAAAAACGCATTAGTTATTTGCAACTAAATGAGATTAAATATTAAAAAAGTTAATAAGTACTTACGATAAAAAATGCTATTTTGCGAAAAAGCATTATAAATAATCTTGATGCATTAAGTCTAGTGAGAAAAGTTCATATTATAAAAGCATAAACTTTTAGTATCGTCACATATTATTAAAATTAGCAACTCGATTAGCTACAGTTTCCATACACACATCACAGTTTCTATGAGCAAAATAGTGTTTCGAGAAAAATCTCGTGCAGTACGAGAAAGCGTGAGTTGATATTTATCGAGATTCAAAACAACACTCCAAAGAGTGGTTACTCCAGAGTTCATGATCGAAAATTAAATCTCGAATTGGAGAATGTGTACCTTTGCTCTCAAATTAATTTAAGATAAAAAGGGATAAAAATGTTAATAAAATCTGACAAATCAGTAAAAAGGAAGGCAGTAAAAATTATCAAAACCTATTTGTCACCCGTAAGAAACTGAAAAAAGATGAAAAGAGAGTTTTAAAAACATTTGAAAGTTTCAGCCGGCAATCAGAGTAGTTTTGATTCCTGCTTTTCTCACTAATGATTAGAGATTGACAAGAATAAGATTAATTGACTATAGTAACGATAAGATTAATTCTTGAAATCGGATTAATTTGACCTTTTCTTCCCTTAATTAAACATTAATTTTGGTCTCCTCATTTTCGTGGTTTTTCTTTACTTCGGTATTAAGAAAGATTTGAAAGAATGTATTTTAAAAGTGGTAATTATGAATAACTACTTTGGCTTGTTCACTTCTCCGCTTCTTCTAAACCATAAAAATACTAAATAAAAATAATCTGTTGCAAAATTTTGAACAAACAATAATTTGTATGTAATGCTTACCCTCATATTGTAAAGAGGTCTGTTTTCGTAACTTTTTCCAATCACTTCCAGTTTTGCTATGTTCGAATGTTTGGAGCTTAAATCCTTCAGCAATTGAACTATCTAAAATTATTTAAAAGAAAGAAGTAGAATTATCCAATAATTTAGTTAACCCTTCTAGGTCATATGTCTATTTTCAGACACCATATCAATGAACTATACAGCCATACAATTGAGGAGAACAATGCAAGTGTTTCACGACAGATTTAAAAAAAAAAAAGGGGCTTGATATTTTTTTTTTCACTTTGCAAATGCAAAAAATAAAATTGAATTTTAAGAAACTGTAAGGTCAAAAATAATTTTTGAAGTTTTTACTTTTATTTACTTATTTTTTGCAGTTAGTAGCCCATACAAAAATACCAAATATATAAAAATCTCAATTTTGATTATTTTTGTCACTTGTATTGATTCTTTTGTTGCACGGCAGCATACTCAGGCAGCATATTTCAGGGCATCAATATTACTGAATTTTTATCCTTTTTAAAAGTTTTGCAAACTTCGAAATAAATAATGCGATGGTGTAAGATTAAAGGTCCGATGGTGTAAGATTAAAGCCGCGCACATCTTTGGGAACCAGTACGAAATTACTGGAGCTCGAATCCCCCTTATAGAATTTGGTTGATTTTTTAAATAATATTTTGTACTTTGTATTACTCTTTGTTTTGTTCGCAATCTGTGTCTCAGCGTTGAGACCAAGGGTGCGCGGTCCTTGTTAAAATCTTCTACAATAAAGTGCTCGACTTCGTGCTCAGGTTATCGGGCTACTAAAGCAGAGGAGCCATCCCCTCTGCAGAGGATCAAAATTGCGATGGCATGTCTTCGGATCATCCTCAGGGATATTTCCTAGAGGTTGCCAATAGCCCATTGGGCAGCTCTAGTGCGACGTAAATAAAGTACCTACGTACAATCTGTGTCTAAACTTTTTCCTTCGTTCAAACCTATTTTTTTTCTCATAATTTTGTTGCTTCATTTTTTTACGTATTATCATTGTAAAGTTGTATTTCATTCATTTGAAGATAATCATTGTATTGTTCATTGCATGATTGTAAGAAAATTAGCATCTAACAAATAGAGAAAAGAGAAAAATTTATTTCCCTGCATGTTCTCAAGTTTTAAACGTTTTCATTGTTCAAAACTAAAGAATGTATAAATAATAACGTTCTAACCCACCTTTTAAACATTTAAACAATTAATCTAACTAATCTAACTAAATAGTATATTTAAACTAATTATATTTTCATTAAATGCATTAAATTTCTGATTATTTAAATTACAAAAAAAGATACATCAGATGAAATTAATGAATGAATGGTTTTCTTACTGCATCATATCTGTGATATTTTCCAAAATTGAATGAGCCTGTCGCTCCGCTGACATTTGTTGGAGCGTGTTGAGACCGTTCTGCTTCTATTGCACTGCAATAAAAATAATAACATAAATATAAAATAATAACACAAAAATAAATAAGTGGAAATGCAAAAACGTAAAAAAATTAAATTTATCATATTTTTTTTTCCTTATAATTTACCTAATTTGCCAGCATGATAAAACTTATATGAATTAGAAACATTTAAGGAATTTTCAAATTATGAATATACATGGGTAACCTAAAGCTTCGCTATTATTTTGATACTTGTAATAGCTTTTCTGTTTTCTCACCAAATAGCTCCAAATCAAAAATATGGCCCCTATGTTCATTAGCATTTTGATGGTATCTGATACTTAAGAGAACATTATACAGCGAGGGGAACACTCCATAGCAAATTCTGCTTCACCTTGCATTGGCGTTTTAAAATGTAAACTATAAAAAACATTATTGGATTATTCTAGAGTAAACCCTGAAGTTTTAATTGCTGAAATACGTTAAAAATATTGAAATGCCAAAAAAAATGCTTTTTTTTTATGATTACTTTAATCGTAATCCTGATTTTTGCGTGATCCTGCCATAATTTGTTTGAATTTCAGTATTTAAAAAGAAACATTTCAGCATTTAAAACTCCATGATATATTCTAGATTTATCTAAAATCATTTCCTCTATAGTTTAAACATTTCAGCATTTAAAACTCCATGATATATTCTAGATTTATCTAAAATCATTTCCTCTATAGTTTAAAATTTAGAATATCAATGGAAATCAAATTAAATTTGTCATGAAGATTTTTTCTCCGCGGTATAGTGTAGATTTGAGCTTTGAAACTGTTATTAATATCTTTTGAAACTAAAGGTTTCTTAGAAAAAACTATATTTTTCCTATTGATTGAATGCTATCAGTCCTGAGTAATATTTTACAATGTATGCAAAAATTACTATTACAGATATTAAGGTACCGGACACCCTTTCTTAAATGATTTTCTACTGAACTAGCTCTTTTCTGCTCTTTACATAGAATAAACTTTGAACTTTTCTTTCTCTATACCATTTTGAGTTTTGTTTCTATGTCAAATAAAAGAGATATTACATGTAAAAAAATCTGTATTGGTTATTAATTTGGTAATTGTGTCTTTTCCGTCCTTCTTCCGAAAATTAATTTTTTGACTAGGTATTTTCCTTCCTTATAAATACAATATCTCAAATTATTTGAATTCAATCTATTTGAAATTGAGCAATTATGTTTTCTATAAATAAGTCTAGAGAATGACTAGTGAGCTAGTTGATTAAACTATTAATTCATATTTTACTGCCGAAATAGTTATAATTAATTCCAATTTTTTGCCTGTTTTGCCAAATAAGTTTCGATGTTAGTTGTAAATTTTTAAATTACTAATAGTAAGTCTAATGCTTAATCCATTTTCTAAATTGAGTTTTTGCGAGCATTAAAAAGCAAACGCTATGAAAAATTTATTCAGGAAACAAAAATATAGATTTAACTCGATCCTCAAAATTACGTCAAAATGAATTTTTCAAAGCAAATTAGCATTTTTTTATTCGATTAGAGTAATTTTCCGTAGATGCACCGCATAACCAATTAGAATTGAGTTCAAATAATATAAGCCTGAAGCAAACTACTATTAGTTTCCATGGGAAGAAATTAATCATAAAATTTTTTTCAGATTTGCATTTGGCAAAGAGTTTCAAAAATTGGCGAATATTCTTGATATTTGGCTAATTTACTGGCCAATAATTTGAAATCCTTAGCGCAGGCCCGGTATATATAATTTTTTTTTTCATGTCATGTTTTAGTCCATAATGCACAATTCAAATAAAAAAAATTCTAAATTAAAAATTTAAGAACTTGGATAAATTAAACTCTTGATTACCTTTGCAAATTAGAGAATGCCACTCCATACTCCACTCCTTGTTCTTTCAGAATATCTTCAACAGATTGAATCAGTTCAGGTCTCAAGCGTACCAATACAGGTTCACCAATGGATCTGGGTTCGTTCCATAAGTCCACCTAGTTCCCAATAACAAAAATCAAATAATCAAGATTCTCTCACAATGTTTGATTTTGCTGATAATAAGTCAAAATTAATAATTTTTCAGAAAAACTTATCGTAAAACATTAAATAAATAATGCCATAAAACCGATGCAGGAAGATATTACTCGATTAAAAACTTCCTTTGCTACAAAAATATATAAATTGGAAATGACAGTAATATGTTTCAAGTGCTCAAAAATAGAAGCTCATTTTCAAGACTTGCCAGACGTGATATAAAAGGAACAAAAGTGATTTGAAAGGTAAAACGTAAAGTTGCCAATGAATAATGGAAAAATAAAGATGAAATACAAAACTAGACTAAGCACAAATTTCTGGTCGTTCTGAAAAGTTATGGTGCTTCAAAGCGTTTTGAATATAAGTAAGATTTTTCACCACCCAGTACATCTTCTTAAGACCAAACATGATGACAAAATTGTAATTGCTAAGAGACACCTAATGATTTCAACGTTGATTTAAAAAAAATACTGATTAAGGAACATGCAAATTAGCAACTTTAGTTTTCAAAACTATATTAAGTTGTTATTACTCCATATTTAGCCAAAGCTATTAACAATTTTCGAAAAAATTCCTTATAGTTTTCCCGTGTATCGATAATTTGTGACAAATGACACAAAAACAGATGTTGATAAGCGCAAATGGGTGAGAATTCTCCGTTAGCACCTCAGAGTCGCAATAAAGCACGCCTGCTTCCTTCGCCAACTATATCCACTCTTCCATATGAATATTATTATAAAATTATAACCGTCGTTGAACAGCTGACCCAATTCTTCGAGTTTACGACTACTAATGTTCAGCTCTGTAGCCTTGTAATTTTGAACCCTATCCAGAAGAAGAGGAAACTCCTGGATCAAGTATTGGGAGAAATTTGCTTTTGTGAAGGACTTTTTGATTAAACTAATCCGCATTTGCGTTACATAGAGAGGAAATCCATGAAAACCACCCATGGTTAGCCTGACGGCAATGGGACTCCCATGATCCGTGTACCACTAAGGATATTTAACATCAGCACTGTGGCCGGTGCAAGCCGGATATGGAATTCATATCGACCAGCCATCGCTGGGATTCAAACCCAGTTACCTCAATGGAAGACGAAGGCTCTATCCCCTAAGATAGCAAGGCTCTCTTCCAAATGAATGACGCATGCGTATAGTGCAGGGGTGGCGAACCTTTATACACCAACGTGCCATTTTTTCTAGAAAATTGTTTAATGAGGTCATAGGCGTGCCGTCAAATGATTTTGACTTCGTGATTATTGGGAAAATAATAATGCTAAATACTATCAACTCAAAATTCTTTATTTACATTGAAAAAAAAACATTTTGCAATGTCTTAGTTATACGCATAATTCATCATCAGTGTGACTTCTGTTGCTGCAGATTAGATGACAAACAACTTATATTAGGTCGTAAGAAGTTAGTTTAAGTAGGACTGTTAATTTTTTTTTTGCTAGTTATTTATAATTAGATTTTTATGGTTATTAATTGTTTTTTTGGCATTAATTGTTAATTTTTTTATTAATAATTGTTTATTATTTTGTTTGTTTTTTGTGGATTTTAGTTTAATTGTTACATATGCTTCGTAGTGCAATAACAATTGTGATCGGTGGCGTGCCCAAAATATTGTGTCACGTGCCATAAATGGCACGCGTGCCATTGGTTCGCCATCCCTGGTATAGTGAGTATCCATTAGCTTGACATATGCCGATGTTACTTCCTTTTAATCGAACCATAAAGCTATAGTATCCCGCCATATAATACCATAGAAATTCTATGGTTACCATAGGCTTAAGTTGTTTTGCCATATAAGTTTCTATGGTTGCCACAGGTTACCATATGCGCTCCTATGGCACATTTTCGTAAGGAGCAAAATACAAGTAAAAGGAAAATGCACAGGAATGCATAAATGAAGAAAAAAATACTGAGCAAGAGTAAAGTTAGACAATGGTACTATTTCTATACTTATTAATCAGTAAAACAAATGCCTCTTTCATCAGCTGAAAGCTTTGATGATGATTTAAGAAAATAAAGAAAGGTGTTTATTGCAACAAAAATAATGCATTGGAATACTTACAGAATAATCTTCTCGAAACTGATGCAACAATCGTAATTGTTTCTCCGAGTTTGGTGTAACTCTTAACACTTTGTGCCTAAAATAAAAAAAGGAATTCCTATGTTAAAATTTCTTGAACCACCATTGTTTCAAAACTGATCTAAAATGATAAAAAATAATCATATTTTTTTGTTACCACTCATTCAGAAGAAACAAGATTTTAAAACAAACTAAATTATATCGATAAGATAAAAATGTGTCTTTATTTTTGTTTGTAGGGTGTCCAAAAATTCATGAAAACAGTCAAATAACTCGTGGAATCCTCATTAAATCAGAAACTTAAAACTGAACTTTTCAAATATTTTTAAAAGATGCATACAATGATAACCATTAGAGGCATAATGCTTAGAAAATATTTTATACTTTTTTCATTATTTCGTATAAACTTAGATCGAAATAAATAAAAAAATGTTATATTTAGCATTTAATGTTTATAATTAGAAAATACAGCATCCAGTGTCTTTTCTTACGTTAAAGGTAAAATCTTCCAAGCGCGGCTCACTTCCAAATAATAATTTTTCAAATTTGCACTTATATCAAGTTATTTTGATCTAAGAGAAACAGTTATTCATCATTGAAATTTCTTCAACTTATTAAATCGACTATTGATAAATTTTTGAATCTGAATGAAATTTTTTTTTCAAATTACGTTTTTGGATTTTATGTTTTAGTACAAATATAATTGCGATAATCGAACAGATTTTTTTTGCATTTAACAAGATTTTATGCAATTGAAAAATGCCTATATTTTTACTTATAATTAGAAAGTCAGAGAAAATATATAAATAGGACATCTGTGTCCTGTCTGCGTTAAATAATTAACAAATTGGACCCCATCTCACCATATTGGTCAAAAAACGAATTTAATATCTCAAAATAATAAACTGCGAAAAAGAGACTCCGCACCTTTGACCTCTCTAAACTCAGGCCACTCTCAAATCATCTCAACCACAGGGGGCGTTTGAGTTCAGCATTATTATTAAAAAGGGTTTTTCAAAAATCATATCCGTTTATTTTCATTTCTTTCGATCTGACAGATATTTCTCGATATATCTTAACTTTAAAATGTTTAAACACTATTTTAATATTGAAAATAATTTAATATTTTAATATTGAGAACGCCCTATGTGAATCAAAGTGGAAGAATTCTAGAGAAGTGCTCTAAAGACGTAAGACGATATTTCCAGGCATGGGTTCTAATGCAATTTTAAACCCAATAATGCACCCTAAATCCCTTAAAAGTTTATCGCAATAATTAGGCGACCCCCTTTTATGCATAATGTTTCTATTTTTAGGCTTACATTCTTTGACAAAATCAAGAACTATTAAATCAATTTCATTCAAATTTTATATCTTGTCATATAAAATAACCTAATTTAAAAAGTCAAAATTTACATACCATACAACTCTTTATCAATTATTATTTAGAGTAATAAATAATTATTAAAATCTAGTTTGCATGGATATATATTTATTAAACTGGATTTCATAACCACGTGCAAAATTGTTTTCCAATTCAATTAAAAAGTCGAGTAGCAAAAAGGGAAATCAATATTGATGTTCTCTAAATTTCGAACTTTCTCTTGACTAAACTGTTGGGACCCTATGCTCCAGATTGCTACTGCTTCTTGCTTTTGCTCTTGGGGGCTAGAAACCTGAATCGTTCGAAAAAATGTACGCTTATTTAGGGAAAGTATGTTTTTTGTGTCAGAATAGTAACACTAAAAATCGTCTGCAGTAATTAATAAGCATATTTAAGATTAGGCTCTCAGAACATTAAGACTAAATTTTAATACATGATAATTCATTCATTAGAAATAAATTTAAAGTATTCGGCTTTTTTTGCACTCTGAATAGTAAATAACGGCACAACATTTAATTAATATTCAGAGTAATGTTATTTGACTTACCCGGTGTAATCAACAAAGGACGTCGACGCGACAATGACACAGCAGAGCAAGATAATTCCGAAGGACTTCATTGTTTTAAAAACTCATCTCTTTCTGCGATGAACCTTAAAATATATATAACGTCCTTCTGATGTAATTATTCAGGCGTCATATACAAATGAATATCATATCTATCAACATGTGCTGAAGTTTCATTATTTTGTTGAACGATAAATATTGATATTTTGTTATATCACACACAATGAATAGATAAAATGTATCTGGATTCCTTTTTTTTTCTTTTCATAAACGTATTATTTCTGAGAATAACCTTGTGAATAGATATGGTTGCTAAATGAAAGAGTTTTTTATTTACTATTAAACAAGATTAAGGAAAAACAGGTGTCACACAAAATAACTTTTGAGCAAATGATCAGATTTTCACGAGATAAAGCCCAACCTTTAAAGTTCAATGAGATTACATTCAAGTATTAGTATGATCTAATTATTAATTAAGATACAAAATAGGATACCTGCAAGTGACGTATTGTGGGTATCTCGATCCTCATTGGTTGTTGAAAAGTGGCATTTGTTTACGTTAGCATTTCCATTCTATTTCGAGTAAGCAATCCTATCAAGTACAAATTCTCTTAAGTAACACAGTATCCTTCCACAAAGATTTCAACTGCCAGGTGCACAAAATAAAAATATATTGCAGTTACTATAAATACATAAACAGAAATAAATCTAAGTTAAGTAAAAGAAGTAGACGAGAAAAATTTATAGTTCAACTAATTCGATGCGCGATATGGCTTTGTATTTAATTTACTTATCGTTAATTAGCATTCTAACTTAAGAAGAGAAACTTAGTTGATGTTTAATACGCTGCTAATGATTAGCCAGCGCTGACGTCATACGTCACATGTGTGAGTATGGGAGGTCTTCTTCTTCTTGAACTGCAAGTTCCTTTAGCAATCAAAGATGTTATCGAAATCTGTTAAATAATACTAAAGAAGATGAAATAAAAAATGTATATCTAGCTAATTTATTTGCCTGATGAATCTGGAAATGCAATGATGTAAATTATATGCAATATTGGAATGATGGATATGGTGTAAATTATCAGACATTTCAAGTACGAAAACTCAAACGGTCTAAACTAGAATATGCTAATTAATTAGATTCTGAAAAATATGGTTCCAAAAGTTCATTCACAAGAGTTATTAAATGTTTAGACCCCATAGTGTAAATGTTACTTTTTGCGCCTCAACGCAAGAACGATTTGGAAAGTTTTTGCATATAATTATAAAATTTGTTTAAAAGATAATCGCATGCATGAAGTACTTTTTAGTAAATATTCATTACATTTGATAAACTGTATATTACCGTAAATGGTCAAAATCAAGAGAATGTCGACTTTCACCGGTGAATGTGAATAATCACACGATCGCTTTGGTGATTGTCAGAAATATTTGTTATATTCGATTCATATATTAATTTATTAATTATATTTATTTATTAATTTTGATATTGTTATATTTTTCCATATTTTAATATCTGTTGAGAATAGAAAAGGAGAAACACGAGTGTCCGAAGTACCGGTTAAACTCATACCGGGCAGTGACACTTAACTTTAAAGAACATTTGCGTAGAGTATACCGGGTAGTGGCACTTAACTAGAACTAGCTTATGCAAGCATTTCGGACATTCACCAAAACGATTATGTGATTTAAACATTTACTTATGGAAGTCAACAACTGCCAATTTCGATCATTCACAGTAACATATGTTTATATGCTTATTTCCTTTGTATAACACTAAAAATGTGGGTAATTCTCTACCTAAATTGGCAACACTAAAGTCATCCATGCTAATTCTTTTTTACTTTTCCATAAAAAGATAACAGGTATTAAGTAATAATTTAAGTAATGCAAAATTAATAATTTTACGTTAAGTTTATACTATGTAGAAAAATTTTGTATTTTTGTAGAAATAAAAACTGACTTACTAAGCGAATTATTTACTTAAGAATTATTTAGATATATTTTTGAAACTTTCTGAAATGGGTGCAGAAATTTTAAACACAAACTGTTTTCTATCTAATTTCACGGCAGAGAGGTTTTAATATTTTTTCTCCTAACTTTTGCTGAATTGTCCTGAATTCATGTTTATGGTGGTTTGCCTGATTCCAAATTAATACTATATTTCAATACATGAAGAATTTTAACAATATCGCGTAGATCTGTTGAAAAATACTTCAACAGTATTTCTATCAAAGTACTTCCGGTGAGGGCAACAGCTAATATTATTTAAATAATAGTCGGAAAACTTTTGAATGTCAAGGTATACAAACGTTTCCATTATCTTTAAACACATAATTTGAAACAGCAAAATAAGAAATTGGAACGAAACAGGCAGAGAAATTCTTAGAAAATTAAATTTAAATACATACGACTATTTGAAAATTTGATAAATAATAATTTAATAGGAAGTTTAGTTCTTTTTTTTTCAATCACAGCAGTGAGTTTGTTTTTTCTTGATTTAAATATTTGTGGTTTCTTATACGCATAATTTTTATTCATTTTATTTTTGACAAGCAATCTCAAAAGTATTTCAATTAATAATAGCATTTTAACTCCTCTTGATTTTCATCCACAATTTAACACGTTTCTTTGCTATCAATGAGACACGTGCTAAGTGACGTAGTGTGGGTATCTCGATCCTGAATGGTTGTTGAAATTTGGCATTTGCTTACGTCAGTAACTATTCTTTCCATTCTATTTCGACTAAGCCAAGCCCGTCAAGTATCAATTCTCTTAAATGACGCATTCTATATTCTTATACAAAGATTCTTTCACTAGGATTTCAATTCTTTTACTATTTATTTCTTACTAAACACAAAGACAGGAATGAAGCACAGGCATGAATTAGAACATAAGCAAACTAATTGTGCATCGAAGTTGCCAGGTACACAAAACAAAAATATAAAACGTATTATTTCTGAGAATAACCTTGTGAATAGCCTTGTGAATAGATATGGTTGCCAAATTAAAGAGTTTTTTGTTTACTATTAAACAAGATTAAGGAGTAAAGACAATTAAAATATATATATATTTACCTTTGGTGATAATTGATGCAAACCAAAAAATTTATTACCACATTCAATATTTTAATTTATTTTATAATCGTCATTGAACAGCCGATCCATCTTCTGATTTTACGACTACTAATGTTCAATACCGTAGCCTTATAATTTTGAACCCAATCCAGAAGACAAAGGAACTCCTGGATCAAGTATTGGGAGAAATGTGCCTTAGGCGATTTCTTTTCGATGGAACAAAAACGTATTTGCGTTACATGGAGAGAAAAACCAAAGAACCTGCAACGGTTGGCATGACGGCAAAGAGGCTCTAACCCATGATGCATTTACCGCTGAGGATATTTCACGTCAGCGCTGGTGATTGGTGCGAGCCGGGTGCGGAATTCGTATTGACCAGCCATCGTTGGGAGTCGAACCCAATTCACCTTATTTGAAGGAGGACGCTGTATCCCCTGAGTCACCCGGCTCCCTCGGTTAGATTATATGAAATGAAGTTTACTGTTATTTTCAACTCAAGGTTGAAATTCATAATTTACAACTTATCAAAATTGTACTTAACCTAAATGTTCCTTAATTACATCTTCTGACATACATGGAGTCCGAAAAGTTTGAAAATTATCGAATATTATAAGAAATGCTCATCCAGTCAAAAATCTAAAACATACGCGAATGAAATATTTTCAAGTATTGTCTTCAATGACTTAACTTGCATACACAACCACTAATTCTGGGTGTGGTTTGCCCTCCAGCAGTTGGACTTAGTTTGAGATTGGTGTTATGAAATAAATTTTTGTCAAAATGTCAAACAGAGATGAGACATTTATTTTTCAAGATATCTACGTACCTAAACAAGTTGTACACCCAATTTTAATTTTGCGATTGTAGCACCGTCTGTGAATCAAAATGTAGAAACCTTTTATTCGAATTGGGGTACAGCTGCATAAAAAAAGGGAGTTCTTAAGTAAGATCTTAAAGTTTCCAATCCCCAACAAGGAGATAATATTGAGGAGTCGAGTTTGGTGACATTTATTAAATTCTCTTTCAGAAGGTTAAGAACTTTACATGATTATTTTTTTATATGGCATGCACTTCTTAAACAATCCCTATTTTAACAATTTTCAGCCCCTTGTTTGATTATTGCGTGAGAAAAATTCATACGCAATGTAAGTAAAATTGATATCCTTTATTTACGGAGAATACAAATCTGCAATTAAAAATGGGAGTTCCTCTTTAAGACTTTGAAACTATAACCGTCCCATTTCTAGGGGATATATGCTGTGATTGATTCTATAAATCTCTACCTTATCTGTATATATTTTCTTGTACAAACATTATATAAGCTTAGTTTTAATAATAGATTGTAATATAAAATCGATAAGTAAAAACAAGTAATAATAATTAAAAAAATCGAAATTATGTTCATTATTTTATTGACACATGTGCGTTATTATCCGCTATGTTCATGATTGCATGTTCAAGTAACACATTATTGATTATTTGCGATTTTATTTACCCATACGAAGAATAAGTATTCTAATGGCACTCAAGGCATTGAAGTACCGAATGAACTAAGGTATGTTAAAACTCTCAAACTTCACTTTCGAAATTTCAATACACAAGTATACGAATTTATACTTAGGCTACTGCATTATTCAGGATCATCAAAGTAAAATTAGCTCTAATTCACTTCGATTTGAAACTGACGAGTTAAAAATAAATTTAATATGCATCGTTAAAAAACAACTTAAACAAAAAGCTATAAAAAGAGATGTTTCACAACATAGATGGCGACATCTTGGTTATTTATTTGGAATGCATATATCGATACAATAACGATAAAACGATCTACCATGAAATACCTATTTACGTATGATTTTAGGCATTTAGGCATTCATTTCAGCATATCAAAATTGATGGAATTGCAGTAATATAGAGATAAGCTCCAGTTTTTACAAAAGCATTATTTTAACACCATACTCTTCTTGAAATTTCTTTCCCCGTAGGTATTTCCCACATTTTTGGTCTATTAAATTTTTAACGCGATATCAATCAATCGTTTAACCAAATGCTCTTCAATCTTATTACAGTGCCAATTTGAAATCGAAAATGAGACAAATGAATCCATCTCAAGTTTGATAGCTTAATAATACAATTCAATTTGAATGGAAATATTCTTGAACTTAACACTTTTACCGCAACGAATTTGTGCGATATTACGGTACAACTTTAAACTGATAATAATGAAAATGCGTTAACATGCAATAGCAATTTTTCTGTAATGTGTAGTACGGAAATAAATGTATCAATGTTCATCCCATAAAATGTTTTATTTCAGTGTGAATAAACAACGTATCAATGAAATCACAAAGCTTGAATAGCAGCCTTGATACCGTCCCATGTCTCTTCGCAGGTGGGCAAGATTTGATTCTCGGGTAACATGAATCCGAATCTACCTGTGTCACGCAACTCAAGAGCAAAAGATATTTTGACTCCCAGCTTCTCATACACATAATCAGCCGATGATCCTGCAGCTGGATCTGAAATTGAAATAAAGCGAATCAAAAAATAGGTTTACTCTACAGGTAATAATTTTTTCAATGTACTAAGTTATCTATCTACCTATATATATATATGGGCCATTCTCACAAAAACAGTCATTTTCATGTCCCCAGTATATTTTATGTTTGTTTTACAGCTTACGAAAAAAAAAGAATTCAGGGAAAGTGTCCTTCAAAATGCAAGCTAACGAAAGAATAAAAATAAAATTATCAATTTTTATTTTTTATTTATTTTAGGTAATTAAAATATACCAATATGTCATTCCCTCACTTGTCCCCACTGCTGATTTAAAAAAAGAAAAAAATTGTTTCTGAAATAAAAATTTTTTTTTTTACAAATTCGCGCTTTTTATTTCAGAATACTGAAATATAGAATTCCGAAAATCAATTTTAAATTTAATTTTTGATAAAAATATTAACACAGCACTATTTTAAACTTTGTCCCCAGTGTTTCGCGTCATTCCCTCACAACAATGTTCTTATCACCTGCAATCTTCTTAGAATAAAAATATTTTAATAAAAGTTTTAGAAGTTAACAATTATTAATATTATAACATCATAGAACAAAATTGCAGTATGTTTCCATCTTCAACTTAAAGAAGCTTTGCTGTGGAATAAATTTGAATGAATCAAACCAGGTAAAATGTTTTACATTTGTCATTCCCTCATATCAGTTTTTAGAGTAAAATAAAATACAACTTCATCGAGAAAGTGGATAATTATATGTTGCTTTGTTGTATAAATATAATTGTATGTGATTGACTTCAGAAATGAATTAGGCCTGACTGTTAATTTAAAATTTTATTGAATTCGTCATTCCCTCACTAGTGTATAAAGTGAGGGAATGACGCTGAAGTGAGGGAATGATTCAAGATCAGTAAATTATTAAAAATATTTTTGTTCTATCGTGCCAGCCAATTTTATTTCCCAAACCTGTAAAAACTATTAAATATATAAGACTAAATTATAATAAATATTAGATATACTTAGTATGTTATCATTTTCAAA